TCCTGATTTCCTACTAGGGGATCTCTTTCTGTGTGTGGGTTGAATACAACTCTTAAGGCTCCACAAATTAAATTGATCAGTTCTTCCAGTCCTAAAGTTTGTATGACAGCTCATTGTGTAATTTCTATGCCAACCGTGCAGCAAGAGAGCTGTCAGACTGATTCATTTTCAGTGTTTAGGCACTTGTCTAGAGTTAGCTAGTGTGATTGCCTCTGTTAAAAACTACACTTAACCCTACAGTTTCTGTTATGTTAAAAACTATAATTATTAAGTGTTTTTAATATAGGTTTTTAGTTCCCATGATGAAGTTGCAGGAAGCCGTGACGTCAAACCTTGTAAAACAGACACGCTATAAACTGGGACTTCATTCACTTTTCAATACATATTTTTATGAGAGTTTAATGTAAGAAATGTTCTTGTATAAGTATACCCACCGGCGATTCACCTTTTGTTTTATGAAATGCTTAATTTAATGTTTATAGATATGAAAGTTACCACAGCTATAAATATGTTTTAGGATAAAAGCATCACAACAAGGATTACAACACACTAGTTAACCCAAATAAATTGTATTGGAAAAGTTCATGAAATTAACCATTTGTGACTGTATTGTGGTTCCACTGTCTCCCTCTTCTGGTGAATGTTGACCTGAGTCAAATTACTGTAGCTTTTTTAAGCAGAGAAATGCAGTACTACTCCCATCACATAAATGCAATGTAGTGAATTCACTATTACAATCTAAACATGTTGATTTCTCTAGTCTTCTGAAATGTATCATTAAGATGTGCCTATTACTGACACGTGAGACAAATGCACCACATGGAAAAAAATGAAACATATGTACAGTAATAGAACACCTGCTTGCTTTTTATCTGCCATTTCATTTTATTACATTTATATAGTTTCCTCATAGGTACAGGTGTTTAATTGAGCAATTCATTCATTATATATACTGCAATTAAAGGGCCAAGTGTTACAAAATCCAGCAGTATATTGGATATACATGCTAGAATTCTAGAACATTTTTAATATCAATGTAAGGATTAAAAACAGTTTGCAATATATTTTGGAGAGTTGTGCTAATGATGTATTTAATCCCTTATTCCTCTGGGTTCATATCACCAGACATTCTGGAATAATGTGTTTAATACTGAATGTGGGCCAGGGAAAAAAAAACAAGCCCTTTTTAAAGGGGTTTTTATTTTTAAAAAGGAGGAGCCAATGGACAGAAGCAAGCGAGAGAAATCACATTCTTGTCAAGATAATTATCTTGGCCATTTGTAAATTATATACTTTTTGCTATAGGCCTTTTTATTTGCGGTTTTAAGTGTTTTAAATGTTCTTTTCTTTAAAAAAATGTTGGTGCACAAGTTAATTTTCTTGTTGTACCCTCAGTTTTGCAGTCATCAGCTACTGAGTTTCACTCGCTGCTATAACCTGAATGCCTGAATGCCAAGGGTGAAGTCAGTGCAGGGCTCCTCCAGAAACAAGTTCTGCTGTTTTCTACCCTGGCAGGGAATGTTCCATGGGGACTTGTGATGCTGTTCTCTTAGCACACCCTAGAGGTCACTGTTGAGTAGAAAACTCAGGGTATCATTCCTGGGGGTGAGCTAATGGACTGCCATAATAATAATAATAATAATAATAATGACCCTATACAATTTCTTGCATTAGGAATTTGTCTTTTCACATACTCCAGCTTGCTCTCCATGAGACACAGACAAGGACAGAAGCTTGGGGTCAGAGCACAGGGTCAGCCATTTATACAGCACCCCTGGAGCAGCTGGGGCTAAGGGTCTTGCTCAGGGGCCCAACAGAGTAGGATTTCTCTGCTGGCTGCGGGATTTGAACCAGAAACTTTCCAGCCACAGGTGCAGCTCCGCCCCAATATGTGGACTGTAGAGTTTCCTCTCTGATTGTGTCACTTGAGCTCCCATTTGAATTACTTCTTTCTTTATTAAATTTCACTATTTTAATGCAAAAGTTGGAGAAAAGTCCTGTATATTCAAACGGGTAAAAAAATATAAGATCACTTTATTTCTTGTATTAGGAATTTGTCTTTTCACATACCCCACCTTGCTCTCCATGAGACACACACAGACAGGGAGAGGAGCTTGGGGACAGAGCACAGGGTCAGCCATTTATGCAGCACCCCTGGAGCAGTTGGGGTTAAGGGTCTTGCTCAGGGGCCCAACAGAGTAGGACTCTTCTGCAAGCTGCAGAATACGAACCAGCAACCTTTCCGCCAGAGGCGCAGATCCTTAGCCACAGAGCCTCCGCACTGCCCTAGGAAAGTGGTGGTAAATGAATGGGGTATATCCTATAAAAATCCTGTAAAACTAGATGCAGTATGTTAATAGTTGCAGTCTTACATATTGGTGTGCTATAACAAAAAATATTTATAAGATTTTCATTAAGTCAAATAGTTCTTCAAAAGATATGTAAAAGAAAAGTTTATCAAGTGGCATAGAAGGTTGTCTATTGAATTAACTAAGTTATAAGTTATTTGAAAGATATTTGGGGGTGGCCATACAGAACATGCTGTTAATTAGAGTCATTGATCCTATCCATAGTACATGTGCATCATATCGTTGAAGTGATAATGAAGTGTTAGAAAGGATGGATTAAGTATGTCTTAAGTTTTCTGAATTGTTCTTCTGCTCTGAATATCCAAATCCATTGAAGAACATGTACTTTATTAATATCTGTATCTGTTCTATGTCATTCGTTTGTTACTAATCCTGTTAATAGTATGACTTGACTGTGCAGACTTTCACTTGAATGAAAATAATGTTTTCGGAAGCTGTCTAGAATGCTGGTAATTACTAGTCACTTTGGTAGTGGTGGAGGGGAGTCCCCATTACCTGTAAAGCTCTTTGAGTGGAGTGTCCAGAAAAGCGCTATATACTTTAAGTGTAAGGAATTATTAGTATTAACTCTTGTAAAGCAAAAGTAAACCTTTGTTGCCATATCTACTGCAATTTGTGAACATAAGAATGGTTACAAATGATTAGAGCCCCTTTATCTCTATGCCGTAATACAAAAGTAAACATTCTAAACACAACACAAAAGTAAGATGTTTTTTTCTGTTGTGTTTTATGTGGAGACTGAATTCATTAATGTGAGGCAAGCATAGTCTTTGTTGACTTTTGTCCTTTATAGCTTGTTTTAAGGTCACACCAGGAGACTGTTACAAGATTTGAATGTAAAGTCCAAGTTCTTTTTTAACCTGTGTCTCTAACTTATTCATTTCATATCAGAAAAGACTTGGGTGCTTGCTTTCTATCCTTCTGACGAAATGAATGCTCTTTTAATGTGCTCATCTCTCTCCCCCAACATTTTCAGGTTTACAGCCTGAAATGCAAGTATAAATCTCTTTTTCACAAGCTATACTAGCATTATTTTAATCAGAGCATTGATACTTACAGTTGACTTTAAGTACAATTAGTCTTTAAAGACATGTACAGTATTTACACTTAATGCTTTAATGTTTAAAACTTATTAGGATTCAGCACTAGTTAAATTTGTGCCACAGAGAAAGGTGAAGGACTACCATAATGTCACTCAAATCTAATTATGTTAGGAATTGTATACTGTAGGTCAAATCCACAACTGTCTGAACTGAACTACAATTAGGCCGTTTAGCTTAGTGCCTTAATATGAACAAACTCAACACAAAACATAAACAAAAAGAAAAGGTGATTGTACACATCCAAACTGAGTGTCTTTGGGTCATGGCTTTTCCAAATTACCATTGTGTTAAGGACATAAGGTAGTTTGTGACTACATCCCCAGTCCGGATTATCCCAAAGGAATTAGCCCCTAAGAATGCTGCTCCCCATTTATATAGCTTGGTGAACTGGAGCAACGGATGTAAAGTACCTCAGTTAAGGTGCCTGTAGCAAGGACTCATAGCTCATAGCCTGTCTGTCATTAGTCCAGAGTCTAATACTAACCCACTACTCCATCCCTCCCCTCTGCACCAAGTACAACATATAGATAATTCTAAACAAATGTCATGTCTCCCTCATGAAATGTACTGGTTCCCACTTTGTAAAGGTACAATATCTACCATTTCATTTCATGGTAGATATCGTCATTTATTTAGTAAAGACAATTACAGATGAAGAGCTATGACAAATTGAGTACAGTAAAAAGAGCAGGAGGAAATGTTTAGGAGTGAAGGCATACATTTTTTAACATTTAGAAAATATATGTAATATATTTTTGTCTGTGACTGCCTTGAAATCACTCAACATGATGGGCTGAATTACTCAGCTTCAGGGTCCTTGAAGGACTTTTTCCATGAAGTGTTTTTTTTTTCCTGACTTACAAGTTTCATAAAGAATGTGGTTATTCATTATATTTAACACAAATGATCTTTTTCTAATGTAAACAAAATAGTCTTTCTTAAATGAATTTAGATAAATAATTTGATCATGAATACTTTGGAAGTTACGGTATTCTTTTAAGTGCAGTCTATTTCAAATAGCAAATAAAATAAAAAGTATGCCCAAAAGCATTTCCATTGTCAGATGCTGTGCCTCATTTGTATTTGTTGATGATAATACGGGTTAAGGCTAATCAAGCCTTGAATGTACAGAGATGTAAATGTGATTTTATTTATTGCTCTTGGCCAACTTTTCAACAATTTTCAAGGGAGGGATTGGTCTGCTTTACCAGAATCTACTCCTCTGTTATACTGTTGAATGCTCCAAATCAATTCAGGCAGAGATTCAGAGATCGGGACAGTGAAATGTGGGTTTAGACATGGTCGCCATCACTCACATTGGAACCTTCTGTATGTTTGTGTTTCCTTTTTTAAGTTCTTATTTTTATCCTTTGCTTTGAGGACACATTTATTAATTTGTCTCACTACTTAAATTACATTTTCTGTTGCGTTATTCTCATTATTGTCATTCTCATTTGTTGCTTTTTCATTGTTTTCCTTCTCGTTTTGAGTTCTGTGTGCACTGAGCTGTGCAAACTTATCTTTTTAGGGTCAAAGAAGAACAAAAGCCTCAGCCAGCACAGTAAGTAATGCATAACCTGAAAGTGCTATAGGCTTTGAAGCGTCTACCTTTTGCTGTGTGCCCTGTGCTTCCTGCAGCTTCTTTGGTATTAGGTGTGTCCCTGATACCTCGATGGGCTGTACCTAGTGTGTCATCTGCTTCCTGATTGGCTTGTAAGAGAGCTTCATGCGGCTTCTTACTTCATCCACATGTGGGCTGGATGCGTCTACTCTGCTACCTGCTTTTTGAACAAGTAAAATGACACATACATGTACATGTGTGACTCTCTCTCTCTGTACATATCCCCTTTTATACATTCTTATTGGCTGATTTCTTACTGCGGTGCCCATTCCCCATTGGCTGTAGCTTCCCTGCTTGATACTTCTTTTTACAACTATCACTGTGTACAGTAGTATTATTATTGACGTTAATAATTTTGTTATAATTACTATTATTGGAGCTATCATTGTTGTTAGCATTAATTTTTTAAAGACTACCTCTATTTCATTTTCCTGTCGGATTTTATTTAATACAAAGATTAAGGGCACAGCAATGTTTTTGTTTTGCTTTTGGTTGTTCAGTCACACTATTTGCTTATTTAAACAGGTGGTTTCCCTTTAGTGGTATCACTGAGCTGGTAAATAACGTTCTTCAGCCCCAGCAAAAATCGCAAAATGAAAAGGAGCCAGAGACGTAAGTAAGCTGCCCTGAGAAAATTATTGTGCCTCTAGTTTTTAAATAAATTGGGCCCTTAAATTAACAACACATAGGCACTTAAATATCCATGGCTTCCTATGGGAAATTTAGTCATCTCTGTGTTTATAGGGCCTATTGCACTTGAGACACATTAGTCTAGTTGCTCCATGGTGTGTACTTTTTGACACTGAGGTACAAATTACACGGGACATTGTATTTTTCAAAAAAGTCTATTTTTTAGCTTATTTCCATGGATTGGGGCTTGAATTTAACATGGCTTCCTCGTTAGAGAAAGACAAGTCTAAAATGTATTGCCCAGAATACTAGGGATGCAAGCTTGATTTTTTAAAGATCTTACATTCACTTTCTATATACATACTGTATATATAGAACATATTAAAATGTTTTTTACTAACTACTAAGGTTATATTTCTGTATTGAAACAATGAAAACCGCATTATTGCTGCTACAATATCATATGTGAATTACATGTGAAATGTAGGCTTCTAATTATTAAATTCGTGTAACGTATATTCATAGTAGATTGTAGATAGTAAAACTGCATATTAAATGCTGTTTCCTCACACTGATTCTATGTATCATTTTATCACATCCAAATGAAGAATCTGTATTCAATGATGTGGGAATTTCATTATCAGTACAGATTTCTGTGAAATTCATCATTTTGTTTTGGGCATATCATCTATTTGTTAACCTTTAAAGCAACTGAATCAATTGAGAGATCAGTGTTCCTTCAGCCATGTTTCATGTCTATCTTATGAAGGACAGTGATAACTGTAGACTTATAGGTGTAATTAAAATTTCTAATAGCAGAGAATTTCAAGTACTGTATGTGGGGGAAAATACATAGACAGCATCACAAAGGCAAAAACTTTTTTTGGACTGGGATTCTGGACAGATATTTATAAAGCTCTAAATGGCCCCAGTGGTCTAAGCTTTGCCTTTCAATATATAGTTCATGCACTGTCTTTCTGTAGTAGTCAGCCACAGAATATGTGAAGTATTTGTTTTCCAAATGTATTCAGTTTACACAATTATATTTATCTATCTGGTTTGACTTGTAAATATTTTCTTCAACTGAGCTTTTCCCTTAGTAATGTACTGTATAGTTTACCATTTACTTTGTTTAGCTTTAGTACTGTATGTTATGCAATAATGATGCTTCTTAATATAACTTAACAATGGGGTGTTAAGATGGGTTCAATTTGTTTCTTTACAATTTGCACAAGGGTTTCACCAACATTAGTGGTGCACATTAACAGTGTCCGGCCTTGCGCATGGTAAAATGATGTTCTGTGATCTACTAAGCAGGCACAATGGGATGACTGGCCTTCTATCATTTGTAACCTTTCTTATGCCCTTAGGTTCTTAACCATGTGAGTTTCGACTAAGGACACAACAGTCCTTATGTCTGTATTTTATTTTTTTAATGGGTTCAACATGGAAAGCTTCAGAAAAAAAATGTAAACATTTTATTAAAAAGACTCTATAGAAAGAGCAAAACGGTTGTTGGTAAGTCTGTGGACTACATCACTCGGCCCTTTTCAGTTTGGTTGTTAGGAAAGAGTACCTTGGCAGGAGACTGTGGATGGCTTAAAGATTGTTAATACAGCTGTGTAGGAAGGTACCACTGCAAGAAACAAATACTAGAATCACTGTATGTATCTACCTTAGGCAAGTCATAATTTACTTCAACACAGGTAGCAAAGAGTTTGTTTTTCCACTTCAGTCATACCAGAAGAGCTTTTTTTGGAGTTTTCTGACTCCTGTCTGTGTTATATGAAAATATCGCTGTATGCTAGGTTTTTTTTACTGTTGCTGCTCTGGTAGTGTTCCCTTATGTCAGCAGGCCTACTTGCCTGAAGTAAACTCTGGTCAGAGTTTAGATCCTAAAGGTAATTAAACATGCTCGGGGTGTTCAGCGTTTGGGTGTGTGGTCCTTCTTTTGAAACAGAAGCCAAATGTTTTATTTGAATGACATCGCCGTAGGAGATGCTGTCTTTCAGATTAAGTATTAGACCATGGTTCTGAATGCTAGGGATCATTTAAGCTCGCAGAATGATTTGCAGGAGAAGGCAAACTCAACCGCTTTTTCTGAACACCGATTAAGATGTTAAATAAGTCCTAACTATACTCCTACTATACAGTAGCATAACGGTTTTAGTTACATCCCACTTCTCCATGGTTTAGAGAAATGCTGCAAAAATGACTTTGGGTCCTCAAACACAAACAGCTGTACTGTAGGTTCATGCAGTGACATACTGTAGTGCTGATAGACTGTGCCACAAGTATGACATTCCTTATAATCTTCTAACTGCTCTTGGCATGTCCCTGTTGTGATCAGATCTATTCCAGGCCTGATAAAATAAATCACTCAACACTCATAAAGTTCCACTGCCATCCTTGATCTGATGACACGCATATAACATATAGGATATCTGCCATCTATATTGCTCTGTGCCATTAATGGGCATTTACTGGATGTGTTTGAAGTTAGATTAGAGAGCAACAAGGGGAACAAAATATCTGATAAAACTTTAAATCATTTAGAACAAAATATAGTATTAAAATAATTTCTTCAGGAGGGATTAAGTAGTAGAATATTCTCTTATTGTAATACTGTACTGTATATTGTTGTGATTGTATTAGGATATTGTTCAGAGAGTTAAACTGCTGTTTTCTCTTGCATCTTTAATCAAGAGTATAGCTGCTAACATTTACTATACCAAATACATGTGAAATAATTGACCTTTAAGTTTCTGTTTAATTCTTCACCATCAATAGCCATGTTTATAGCACCATTTTTCTTATAATTGAGTGTAATCTTCAATGATTACACAATGATCTGTGTTGAACAGTACAGCATGAATGACATGAACACAGAGAGCTTAGCAATGGATATGGCCCTCTGGTGCCTCTCCACATCAGGTTTAATCAACCACTTTGATCAGAGATATCTGCTGTCAAGTAGGAAGCACACAGAGGACATGTCTTTCATGTAGTTTTGTGAATGGGCGACCTCAGTCTTTATAATTGCCAATGCAGCTGAAAGAAGAGGCCTTAGTTTTATCTAAGGCCATGATGTTGAATCTGATACCCTGGCTTCTTCCAAGAAATGACAGGAGAAGATCCCTGGATCAATTAACTACTACCAGAAAGCTTTAATGGCTTCCTCTTTGTAACTGTTCTCATGTTATTATGTTCACAAAATTAATATAGTGTAGGAATAGGAAAAGCTGCAGACAATGGTGTGGAATTCTCCAGGAGGTATGTCTTTGAGATATTAATTGTAGCACCATGGAATTTATTTTCCAAAGACAACGAGATGCCAGTCATCAAATGGGTCACTATCACAAGCGTCGTGAAATATTGATGCTACAAAAAATGTAACAGATAATATTCTAGTATTACCTAGTAGAAAATGAAATACAGTACCATACATCCTGCGAAGATTTCAATGACAATGCAGATGTTCTGGTTAAATATTTATTACAAAGCTCTTCTTAGAAACCTTCATTTAAACATGCACAAAAAGAAGCAGGGCTTATTTTCAAATATCTGTTAGATATACGGTATATATGTGCTTTTAATGGTTTTATTGTTTTTGCTGTGGCTTTTGTTGCTCTTCAGTGGTTTATGAAGGAGCAGTACAATTTCTTCCAAAGCATTTGAAAGCCCACATGTAATCATGCTTTTGGCTAGGTAACATGACCCACACAACAGGTGATGTCACTGTGCTGCTCATTCCTCTGAGGCAAGGTTGCTTAAAATAGGCAAGAGAAATGGAACCAATCACAAAAAAACTCCCATTTGTGTTTGATGTGTATTAAGACCTTGAAAGCACTTGACCTGTGTTGCAAAATAGTGGGTTTACTCTCCAATTGAGCTAATGTTCTTGAATTGTTACTCTGATATACAATATGTCTGTGTTCTTCACAGCATAGATCTTAATGATTGAGGCTGTGAAGTGTGGATAGTAGTCACTCAAACATTCTTGATACCAGTATCCTGAAGAAAAGTACGTCTGGTTATGAGAAGAATGTACAGTATTTTTCCATTAGATTTTTTCATCAGGGTGGTGGCTTACTGTATTACTGTATTTTTACGCTAACAGCCCAGCCTATGACATCCTGAACATTCTCTTCAGTCATAATAACAAACCCTTAAATCCCTGTATATACTGGTTTATATATTGTTTAAGTGTTTTAGTTCTCAGTAATTAATGGAAATGCCAGCTTTTTCACAGCCGTAGTTACCTTGTGAAATTTTCCAGATGCTGATAGCTGAGTCATCTTTTGTGGCTCAGTCATTGGCAAATTCGTTTTCTTAAAAAGATAAGTATATTTTATAGAGATTAGATAAGATATTTTACAAGCTGAAAATCTTACGGACTGCTGTATTGGTGTGTTTTGTTCAGTTTGGGTTCTGATTAGGTATTTCGTCAATCTTTCAGATGGCAAAGGAAGTGGTTTTAAAATACATTTGTGCAAATGAGATTAGTTTTAAAATAGCACATCACTGTAAGGCTGTTCCTACAGTGTAGAAAACCATTGCATTTAATTTTACGGTTTAGAAAAGAATAAAAGCACCCAACAGTCTTGCTAAAAGGCAGCCATAAAATGTGACACTTTAGTTTCCTTGTCTATTCTACATTGCTAATATGCAGTTTGCGGAGCGTCTGAGTAATGTACAGCATGAGGAATTATGCCAGGTTTTCTGTGTGCTTACTGACTGAGATGCAAGAGCAGGTAGACAGCTGTGAGTGTCAGTAAATGCCAAGTTTACTTTCTGAAGGCGATTAGTTTTGACACATTGATAATGCCTGTCCGTAGCAATTACATGTGTATTTTAAAATTCCGTTTATGGGAAAAGGTACCCCATCAGGTTATCACCAACACCAAAGCATAGAGTAAAAGGAGAGGACAAGTTAATTATTAAAAACCCTAATAAATTTTGCAAAGGATATGTGAAGTGAACTCATTCTGATCGTGATATTATGAAGTCAGCCAGTGTTTGGTTTCTGGGGGTCCAGTACATCATGTCATGTGTCATACAGAATGCATGGAAATACACACATGCACTCATGTGAAAAATGTAAACATTTGAATTCCGTGTCCATTCACTTCTGAAGGCGCCTTTCTCAAATGGTTGTACTATGGAGCACCAATAATTTACTACTGTACAGTAGGGTACAGTATGGAGAAGGCTGCTGTCCCGTCTTTAAATGTGTAATATGAGAAGTTACAAAGATGCAAATGGTGCAACCTGAGCAACTTGTCAGAAATATTATCTGTGGGTGTAAAGATTCTAAATTTAATACGATTCTGATACATTTATAAGAGTGAGTGTTAGGTGCAATTATTTCTAGCAAAGTGTTTTGGCTAAAATAAATATTAATTAACTTTGACTGTTAGTCACACTGAGATGCTAGTTCTGAATGGAACTGCTACCAGCACTCTATTTTAATGCCTCTTTCTGTTTGCTAAAGTAGAAATCCAGTGAGTCAAACCTTTGTATGCATTGTCACAGATTTAATAAAGACATGTGCTTATTATTCATAAAGCACCAAGAAAGCAGGGTAAGTAAAATTAACTGAAGCAAGTGCTGTTAAATGTGCAAAGAAAACTTGATGCCCACCTACAGTATGTAGGGTATGTAAAGTAGAATAGGTTTTACAGGTAACCATATTCAGTCTTTAAAACTAAACTATTATTAAGATACAGTGTGTTTTTATCACCAATTTCAGGTGCTGTACCCTGAATGTTATTGCTTTGAAGACCATTTTATACCATCATTTGGAGAAGTCAAAACAATGTGTATATAAACAAAACGTTTTGTGAGTGAACTCATCTGAGGACTTAATGGAAGTTTGCTTTTATTTTTACTTAGGCAGAGAGAACAACCGTAGTCCACACTTGAATGAATTGGATGTGATGAAACAGATGTCATGTGAATGCGCAGGGTTTACCAATGTCTAGAAACAGGCGTAACCAACTTGTGCTCTGAAATCGACATGGCATCAATTGACATGGCTGTCTTATGAGTGTTGTGGGAGAGTTCTCCAACAATGCTTCAGAAATGCAGTTTTTTAAATGAAGCCCTTTTTCATGTTTTATAAAATTAAGCACATTTTCATACTGAGGCCAGATGCCATTATACTGTATATGAACTCTTCTCGCATATAAATAATAAGGCTTTAAGAAATGTCTGAAAAAAATAAAGAAATGAGTTTGAATATTAGAGATAGGGACTCCATCAGGCAGTGGTCTGAGAGAAAACTTATGGGATGTAGGATGTTGGCTGGGTGAAGTGCTGGCTCTTCAGTGATGTCGACCAAGGTCACTCAAAGTCAGCAAGCAACAGGCTCAAGGCAGGACACACCCAGGACAGGATATCCATCTCTCGCATGGCAAGTACAGACACGAGCACTCATGCACACACAATCACAGGGAGAACATACAACCGCTACTAAGATAGTACCCAAGGAATTTAATCCAGGGCCCCAATGCTAACCACTGTGCCACAAGACTAACCAGAAAAGGTAATATAGTTTGTAAATGATTTAACAAGGAATGGTTACAAAGGAATATATTGCTCTATCATGAGTAGATTTTAAAGTGAAGCTTTGTGTCTGACTGTGATTCCCTTGCTTGGTTTATAAAACAGAATCTTATATTTTCCTCGATATTTTTTTTTTAAATCTAAAAATGCCAATATCAAAATATCTAAAAAAATAAAAAATACCCTTTCTTTGTCAGTGTACTGTATGGTAAACCATAACCTGTATATCAATGAATTTCAATTTCAATAAATATCACACTATGAACATATAATAATGTATGTGGTGTTTCTTGGTATGTCTTAAAATGTATTCAACGAAAGTAGAATGTAGCAGTCCGCAAAAAGAAACAATACATTGTGTTGTACATCTATTATTTAAAGTTAGTAATATCAAAGTTTAGAGACACATACTGTACATCAAAACCATTATTTGTAAGTGTGCTCACGATTAACCAAACTTTCTTAAAGGGAGCATTAAAGAGGTGCTTATATGTACTTCAGAGAGTGTAGTAGCGACAGTTACATTTATGTTCCAATGAATGGTTATGTGCATAGTGTATGTGAAAAGTGTTAATAGATGTAATCCAATCTTTTAATTCAGTATTACAATCTAAGAAAATCCCTCATACCAGGTAGTGGGAATAGTAATGTTTCAATTAAATGCACAATATTTGATTTTCTACATTTCTCGCAAACGTATGATTTACATTTGGTAATACTGATAAGAACAACATCTGTGCATCTACAGTATTCCATACATTTGGCATTGCATTGTGGAAATATTAATCAAGAGATTCTGAACAGTTTTGAGTGCTAGACATTTTAGCTTAGCAGCAACTCATGAAAACAGGGTTGGTAATAAAATAGGTGTATTAGGTTCACGTGTTAAATAATCAGGCTAAAACCTGTTAACAGCACTAACAAGTGCTTAAATGGTTATGTAACCTTTTCAACTAGGAGAAACTAGCATTTAGAGCAGCCAAAGACCGCAGATGCTTCCTTTGGGTCTGAACATATTTCAGTTTCAAATAATGCAAAACTCAAATGATGACTGCCCGATCACTCGATTTCTTTCTTAAAAGAGGCACCAGTTTTCTACCAGTTGTACTTTAAGACATTATATTATTGACATTATAATATTGAAGACAATGTTATAAACAAAACTCTTCAACCCCACACTAACGATGGGGGTAATCAAGGCATGTCATATTCAAATTATGCAATGTACTGGTAAGTTGTCATTTAGAATATTGTGTTCACTTTTGGTTACCACATTTTAAAAGAAGATATTACTCTTTGGAAGCCTTTCGGCCTGTATAGTAGTTAGTAGCTTATTGAAACAAGGATGTTAAGGATGTTATTACTTTAAAGAAGGCAGGGTGTAGGCTTCAACCAAATGGCTGAGTAACTTGTTCCATATCCCCACAACCCTAAAGAGGTGCCTCTATTCTCGTTTTTAAATGCACTTCCATGTAGTTTCCACTTGTGCCTTCTGGTTGGTGTTACATTATTTCCTTATGTAATCTAAACTGTATGAAAATAACAGAAAACTCAGGTTCTTATAGAGAATAAGGACATTTAATAGACAGCTTAAGGTTTCTTGTGTTGTTTTAAGAAAAAAACATGTACTTCTTTATTGTGTTTGACAGTAATATGAAAGCTTACTGGCATTCTTAGTAACTCCACAAAAAAGAAGGAAAAAACGGTGTTGTAATAGTTACTGTAATAGTTAAGTCTGGCAAATATTAAGAACAGCAGGGAATCACCCATAGCCTGTTTTATGGGACATGATCACCAACAAAAAATAACTGGATGTTACAGGTAAGGTTGAATTAACAAAGTGTTCAAGAGACATAAGTGAGAAAGAATTCAATTAAATTAACTAAGAACAATTAACTAGGTCCAAACATGATACATGGGTGAAAAGGCCTCCTCTCATTTGTATTCTTTATATTTTAAAATTCTGAGAATTTTGGTGATGGCATGATACCAACTACCTTGCTGACAAAAACATTTTTCCTTGTGCAAGTGGACTGGATTTAGACACAGAGCGAAGACGTCTCTGTCTCTGGCGGTCCTGACGATCTGGCCTTTTCCCGTCCTCGTAGGAAGTTGCACCAGCAGTTCGAAATGTACAAGGACCAGGTGAAGAAAATGGGAGAAGAAGCACAGCTGACGCAGGAGCAAAAGGGGGACGCTCCCACCTGTGGGATCTGCCACAAAACCAAGTTCGCCGACGGCTGCGGCCACATCTGTTCTTATTGCCAAACTAAATTCTGTGCTCGTTGCGGAGGACGCGTCTCTCTGCGGTCAAATAAGGTACGCTCTCTGTCGCCTTCCAAGCCTTTGCAGAGGTAGATAGATAGATAAGACTTTATTGATCCCCAAGGGAAATTGATGTGTTACAGCAGTCCAGCCCAAGACAAGGAAAAATAGGTGGGGCCCTGGTTCTGATCCCTGGGGAACAACATCTTTCCCTGGAAGAGAAGCGAGTGGGAAGTTAGGGCACTCTCTTACGATAAAATGCTGTTTCTTTCTCTAGTCAGGCTTTTCAACAGTTTGCTCAGAGAAGGGACAGTGACACAGGAACTCATGCTGGTGTAGAACATGATTTAATCTCAGGGAGCTGAAGGAATAGCGTTCATGGTTTGGAAGTGATACCTTTGGTCACTGTCAGAGGCAGGTTCATTATTTTCATTACCTTTCACTTTCACTAAATGAAGGTTCTACCATAGTGTGAAATTATTACTTTATTTTAGGGACATTCAGAAAAAAAATTGTTTACCCAAAACAACGCTGGAAATCAAGAGAGAAGCTTCTGGAAATAATCACCACCAGGCATCCACACACACATACATGTCCTGGGAACAAAATGATACAGTATCTTCAAATGTCCAATATTCATGTCATGTTGTATTTTCCTGGTTTCCTAGGTACCGAATACTAATTAAGCAGATTCTTTAGCAAGTAACAGAACAGTTATCATAATTATCTACTCTGCCCCAGAACAGTGGTGTCTAATAGTATGGAATAACATTAGTTAGATTTTTATGACCTCTACGAGTTACTGAACAGCCACTGTGGGCCTTTAATTCCTGCATTCCTGTATGTAAAAGATGGGGACACTAAACACTTTTTACACAAAGAGTGTTGGGAGTGTGGAACAACCCGCTCTGCCATGTTGTCGAAACCCTTTTTTTCAAGAAACAGCTGGATGACACCCTCAGATCACTTAGCTAATAACCACAAAACATCTCAGAGGGACTGAATAACCTCCTCTTCATTAATAACCCTTCATGTCTTTTGTTTTGTACTAAGTTTCTAGTGTTTTTTTTTGTGCAAAATATTGGCTTTATAGATACATTTTTAGAAATAAAACAAACAAAATACATGTTTTTTAACAATAAATATAAAACTCTCTGATATGCATTATAAGAAAAATATATATTGTCTAAATTATGGTTTGAAGAAGTTCAAGTGGGTAGCTGCGTCAGCATTCATAGGCTGCAAAGGAAAAAGTAAAGGTTTATTCCATGCTAAAAACAGAAGAAAAACAGTTTCAAACAACTGAAGAAGGCTCCACAGCCGAAAAGTTGTTTTCCTAAATCATGGTGTGTGCTGGTTTTGAACAAAATGTCCCTTATATTTCAGACAATCATAAGTATGATTCTTTATTATTCATCTTCTGTTACTAGCTAGAGCTTACATTCTGCGTTAAAAGAGAGCAAAAAGGCCTATTTATCCCAGATTTCTCGGTTAGGTCAAGTTCTCATGTTCAATACATTTTGTAGCCACCATGGGGCACTGCTACCTCAGCAAAACTCCACCGCAGTGCAGAGACGTCTTTACTGTTTAACCAGTTACCTTTTCTGTTTTTTGTTGTTGTTCTGTGGTATTGTTGTTTTATTTATTCCTTCCCCGTCTTTGTAAACAAGACCAATAAATTACAAGCATAGTAGTTTCAGCCTCTAAAATCACAAGTATCGTGATAAAATGATTGCAATACGAACCTGCCGCATATCTTTGCTGCTTGCTAAGGCATAGGGAAACTATGCATAACTCACTCATGGTGTCTTTTTTTCTCTTGCCAACATGCTTGCTTTCCTGGACCTGCTGCAGGAGGACAAAGTGGTTAGCATATTCTTTTTATTACTTTTTAAATCATTGCCATATTTTTAACCCTGTGTGTGTTTTCTCTGTGTTTCAAATATCCAGTCCTAAAGGCCTTTGTGTATCTTAAATGATTATGCCCTGAGTACATCTAATTAACTTATTAACTAATCTAACATTTTACTTTACAATGCCTTACTCACAATAATTAAGGTCAGTTAAGGTCCCTAAGACATGGAAGACATGGACATGGTTATCAATTATCAATTAGGTTTTGAAGCCTGTGGTTTTATACATCAGTATTCAGAAAAATATAAAAGGTTTACTGTGGGATGAGATATAATCTTCAAATTATAGAAAGCAATTAGAGGTGAACAATCTTAAGGATTAAACTGGCACAGCAGGAGAAGAGTATGTAAAGGGAACATCCAGTAACCCCATATTAAATGTGTAGTGTTGCAGAGTTTGTGTAAAAAGAGTTATGTTTTATTAAATAAAATAAGATTTATCGTCCCCTGAGGGAATTTTTTTGTGGACACACAGCACTTCTGTACATTTAAATATAATGCAGAAAAAAACAAACATTGCACATCACTATATTGCACATGTACAGTATAACACATAAAACATTACAAAACATACAGTATGGCACACAAGTGGATTGTAAAGGTCAAAATTGTGTTTATCCTGGCCATTTGCATTGACAGCTTTTAATGGATAGTGGAACAAGGGAATGTTTGTATCGGTTTGACTTACATTTGGGAACCCTAAAACTTTTGCCAGAAGGAAGAAGTTGGTACTCAGAAGTGAGGATGTGGGAAGGATCTGATATAATTTTTTCTGACTGTTTGGTTATGGCTTTTTCAAAGATTGTCTGCAGGGAGGGGGTGCTGTTTCACTCCCATGACCTTCAAAGCTGTTTGGATGAGACGGGTAATTTGCGATCTTAATTGAACTGATAAATTACCAAACCACACTTATACCATATCTGATAATGGTCTCGATTACAGTATGGTACATTATTTATGTATTATGTTTTGTGTTCATTTGAGAAATTAAACATGATGGTACATATTTATAATACAGCATCAACAAAATATTCCTTATCCAATTCTGCTGGTTGTATAATTAAGGAAAAGGATTGATTACAGTACAGTAAGTTATCTGAAGTTTATGTTTATGACAAATCCTGCTTTTCAGCTTCTATGAACATATTATTGTCTTTTAAATATGTTGACAGGAACCATCCTTGCCAACTCAGAGTTAATTTTATGTTTAACTAGATAAATATATAAATGCTATTTGGATACCGTTTAAATGGTATGGTATTACTTTGTGACAAAAAGGATTGGTGTAAGTTTTTGTTTGTTTTTCTTAAAAGGAGAGATGATATTCTAGGAAATCAAGCTAATGTCTCAAGTCCTAGCATCAGAAAGAAAAGAATCAGTGTGTGATAGCCTACTTTACCTAAATCATACAGGATTTGCTGATTTTGAAACAGGAGTTTCAAGTGACAACGTTACAATGTGGTTTTGTTTTTCTGTGACTCTTGGTGTCAGAGTGTTTTTCTGTGTCACTTCTGCACTAAAATTCTTTATATGCAATACCTAGCGGTTCTGATTATCAGAGGTTTTGTAAAAGTAAAAGGTGTATAAGTGATTGGAGTAAAAACCTGTTTTTAAATACGCAATACTTGTAAATGGATACCCTGTCAGCTGAGTAATACGTAACATGGTACTGTATATGTAATATACCTGTCACTAAACAATTACGCAGTACACAGTTTCAGGTTAGCTCCAAAAGTGGTAATTACAACTGTTTACAGTATACATGTTCTACTGTTAAAAATAAAGTAATGGTCCCTTAACTATGAATGTATATTCTTAATCGCAGTGGTGGGTGATTGGTGCCTCAATTTATATCATGTGCACAAAGACCTTAAAAACAAAGATCACATATGTCATTACGAGATCATGAAAGTGCTATATAGGAACAATGCCTCAATTTTAAAGTCTCTGTTTCACGACAAAGCTCAAAATATGCTTGTCATCCGCCTCTAAGAAGTGAGCCTCCCTCGAGCTTCAGTGTTAAATTTCAGCACCACTTTGACGTGGTTGTGACTCAGGGTCAAACACGAAAAACGTTTCAGGTGACATCAGGCACGGATGTCATTACTCTTACCCACACAGGTTATCCAGTGAATGCAGCTGCTTCTAACATGAGAGCTCCTGACTGGTAGACAGGATCAGGATTAGCCTTGAGATGGGACAATTCAGGTTCAGTTTTTACCTGCTGCTCATATTCAAGTTAAGGACGCTTGTCTCAAGAAAGCTTCAAAGTAAGCTGTGTCTCTGCCCTCCCAAAAAATCAGTGTTAGGGGAGAAACTGCTCTCATTGTTAGCTCTTAATTTTTAAACCATTTTATTACATCTTAGTATGGCTGTGTTGAATTCTCACACTTGTTTTAGAATTTGGTGGTTGAGAATATTATTCTATTTTCATAATTTGTTAAAGATTCGACTTAGCATCTGTGACTCAGTTTGTTTTTGAATTTTAAAGTGAGATTGTGCTGTGCGTATTGAGGGACAGATAATGTGAAGCATATTTTGGTGCAATGTATAATAGATACTATCTGTTTTAATGTTCATAACTAAGAAAAAAAAACATCAGCTCAAAAAAAAGAATAGTTTATAATGTTGGAGTGAACAGACTGTCATGAGGATTCAGGACTCAACTATTAAATCACACCAGGAAAGGACAAAAAATTAAGTACTGGTATTTCATCACTGGTCCGAGATTTCATATCAGGCCATAAAATGGTGAATAAAAAGTAGAAACAAGGCAAAAAATGAGTTAGGATTTTGAAATCATCTATAATCGGAAAGATGCTTATTTCTGGCAACCCTGAGTCTATCCTGGGTTCACAGGGCTCAGAGTGCCTATCCATCAAGCAGGCACACAGACATATGGATAATTTAGGATCATTTATTGATGCTTGTCTTTGGAACGCTTTAGGAAACTGGGACATCCATCAAAAACCATGTGTGCACAAAAAGAGACCACGCTAATACAAGCACACAGAATGTGCCTTAGGTTGGGTTTAAACCAAGGGTGGAAAAGCTGTGAGGCATGAATGTTAGCCACCACACCACTGTGCTGCCCTTAAGCTGATTAGAAAAGTGAACACTAATAAATTATAATTATAATTAATAAAAAAATGTTATAGAAATAGAAGAAAGTTGAACATACAAGCTTTATAAGGTGAGTATGTGGCTACCTGAATTTCTCTCTGATCATCCTTCAGCCCAATAGAATGACAACTTATCTGGTGGTGGAGGTAGTAAATACTGGAATGTCCTGGTTCCTGTATGGAAAGGAAGCTATCATTGCACAAGTCAGGACCTGAAGTGTTAGTTTACCAGATGATGCCCCCTTTTAAGAAAAGCTGATCCCTTTAACAAAGTGCTTTATTATAACGCTATAATATTTCTGCACTACAACACCATACATACTGTAACTCCATAGTAAGCCTGCTGATAAACGAAGTGCATTTTTAATAGGGTTTAGTGATTTTTTAGTTGTTTTTTTTCATTATACTAGTGCTCTTTGATGGGTTGAATTAAGGTTTAGCTAAGGCTTTTAGTTTTGCACAAGATTACATTTCCTTTTCTTTGTGGAATTTTCTCTCTCACTGTAGTGGTGTTTAACATCAATACCTGTGCCACAAAAAATATATATTTTACTTTTGCATTTGGATAGCTCTCAAAAAGATACTCCTTATGATTCTAGCTTTTAAGCATCTACAAAACCTTGAAAAGCCCTGCACTAGAAGTGCAGTCTGGACCTTGTTTGGTTTGACATGGATACAGTGGGCAGTGTGTCTGGTTGCACTGTGGCTGGTTGACCCAGGTGTCACACTGTGGATTCTGTTCCTCAGCAGTGCTGGGTGACCATATTCTCTTTCAGTGTATTACCTCAGTGATCACCTGCAAAGCCATTTCTTTATGCGGCCATATGTGCAAACATACACTACAAAGGGGCTAAGGCACATTTTCATACTGTCCTTTTGAGAAGAGGAAGTGGTAGACAGAAGTATTGCTCATTGCACAGATTTCCTCTAGACCCAAAATATTCATCTACCTGGGACTTGGGCCTCGCTGTCCCTATTGGAAAAGAATGGTGGCATGAAATACTTCAAATTCTAGTGGTTGGCTAAAAGCTTCATACTGATGCTGTTGCTTTGTTAGAGATATTGTATGAGAACACACCATGATGAGGAAAATATACCATTAAAGCAGGACAGCCCCAGCCCAGAAATGTAAAAACTATTTAAACACTTAATTTTTACACGACACTGTTTAACCTGTTCCAGTATGATATTACAATACATAGTTGTGTTCTTTTGTGTTATGAATAGGAAATGACATACAATGTGTAGTGGTAAGGCATACAGTAGGAAATACTTGTGGATTTCTAGGGCATTCATGTTTCATCCACAATCACTAGATTTGAGTGCGCTGTCAGCTAGAGGAATCAACCTTGACTTCTTTACACTCAGTGTAACGATGCAGAATGATCAGGTGCGACATCAGTTTGAAAGTCTAATGTACAGTAGCTGGTTACCATTTGTGCAAACTTCATCAGTTACAGTATCTTGCTGTTGATAGCCATTACTGCATAGTGTTTGGACAGGAAGGCTTAGTGCATAATCCAGGTGTATAATCTAAAATAAATAACCTTACATTTGTCACAGCTACAGTATATACAGATGAGCACATGATCTGTATTTGTGGTGTTCTTTTATAATAATCTTGCATAAAAGAACATCAGAAAACAGATTTATTCAGTTGCACTGAATACATTAGAATGTATATTGTAATGATTGAACAAAAGTACCTGTTGTTCGGGAAACCTAATCTCTGACTGCGTTACTCTGCATGTTGTGTTTGAGACTGTGCAAGGAAACGCTGTTTACAGTATTAATAAAGTATAGATGCAGTTTGGTTAAGTTTAGATACTGT